GATCTTTAGTTCACCGTACTTTGTTTACCGGCAAGTGTTTCCCGGCAAGAACAATTTGAGCCACTGCTCGCTGAAGGTTACTTTTATGTCTGCATGCATCACCTTGCATATTATGTAATCATTATATAGTAATATATTAGCAAATATGAAAATGTATATTTATAATTTCATTTTCAGGAGAAAGGAGCAGAAGCAGGTGACAATTCATCAAAGTATGTCTACTACTGCATTCGTTTCATCTGTGGATTCTTGTTGCCTTTCCTGGTCATCCTTATCTGTTACATACTAGCTGCTGTTGGGATACGCAGAACGCGGCTCTCTGGAAAATCGAGGCCTCTTCGGATTCTTGCTGTATTGGTCTGTGCCTTTTTCTTATGTTGGGCTCCATACCACTTTCTAGGGCTGGTCAAGTTGGTGAATAAAGACAATGAAGCAGTAAAAGTGGCACTGAGTATGGCTTCAAAATTGGCCTATTTCAACAGCTGCATTAACACGGTTCTGTATTTCTGCACGGGACTGGATGTTAGTCGACGCTGCAACCAAAGCCTGTCTGGGATTTTTCATAGAGCGCTTATGGAGGAAGGCCAAAGTCTCTCACGGCAAGGCACTAGAGAAGAAAGTTGTAATTCCATTCCAAAGACTGCAGACATTGAGTTTGTCACTAAAGTTTAAGAGATCAATATCTAGATTAATATCAAACAAAATGAAAAGTTAATGCTTTAATATGTAGATTGAGCCTTTATGAAAATTTTGCAAAATACTAGTAATATATGTCATTTTTTTTCATACAAATGTTCGTGTCAATCGTACATTTTTATGATCGGCTATTTTTGCTTACACATGTTCATTTGTTAATTAACAGGATGACATTGGCCAGAAGAGAAAACGGAAATTACTTGTAGCCTAATATGGGGTAAAGGGCACAATTTTTAGACCGGGATTGCATTACGACTGGGGTTAATCTGAGCTCATTTTTTATTGTTCATTATATTCCTGTAATATTTGCCTTTGCAATAAATACACAGTGTATAAAAAAGGTGTCTGATGCAATGACTATTCATTAGAAAAAAATCTAGAATTTCAATAGTTCAGTTCAGTTCAAATTCTGATATCTTCTGTGATTAAATAGTGAATTGAAAACCTTAAAACTTTTGCTCTGGCATTACTGAGCACACTTAACTAACATCTGCAGTGACACTGCAACATTAAAGGTTGAGCAATATTGCAAAATAACAAAGTGAACAAATACTACATTGCTCAGAAGTGAGACTGACAATAATTTCACAGAATATTCTGTGATTTTGATAGAAAATATTTTATATTAATTTGCATATGCACCTAACCACTTATATGAGATTGCAAGTAGTCAAGTGATTTGAATATGATTCCTCTGCAGCTTTGAATGAGTTGCCTTCCAAATAGGCTATGTCATAAAAAGCTGTCTTAAAAGTAAACCTCTATTAAACGACTTTAATTGTGAATGGTGCATAAGGAACAGTTGATTAAATTAATGATTCAGTTACCAGAAATGTATATTACAAGTTATTAAGATGAGCTCAAAAGACTTAAATGGTGTTCTGTATAGGAATCATACAGAATTGGTAGGCAGACCTACAAAACATAACTGCTATATTTATCACTTTTAGAAACATACTTATTACAGTTGCGTATTGTATACTGATATGTTACATTCTGAAGCTAGTAGTAAAAATGTGAGTAGACTAATTTACAAACCCAATTCCAAAAAAGTTGGGACACTGTACAAATTGTGAATAAAAACAGAATGCAATGTGGAAGTTTCAAATTTCAATATTTTATTCAGAATACAACATAGATGACATATCAAATGTTTAAACTGAGACAATTTATAAGTTGAAGGGAAAAATAAGTTGATTTTAAATTTCATGGCATCAACACATCTCAAAAAAGTTGGGACAAGGCCATGTTTACCACTGTGTGGCATCCCCTCTTCTTTTTATAACAGTCTGCAAACGTCTGGGGATTGAGGAGACTCCTCAAGTTTAGGAATGTTGTCCCATTCTGGTCTAAAACAGGCTTCTAGTTGCTCAACGGTCTTAGGTCTTTGTTGCATCTTCCTCTTTATGATGCGCCAAATGTTTTCTATGGGTGAAAGATCTGGACTGCAGGCTGGCCATTTCAGTACCCAATTTGCCAAAACCACACTTCACTTACATCATTTGTGTTTACGCAAACAAGCAAAGATCTGCACTTTTGTTCATGTCACCTCCCTCTTCCTGCCTTTCTCCTCTTTGTCTGCAGTGAAGACATTTATGAATGACCAGATCCATTACACCGAAAAGGGGAGAAGAGAGCAACTGCAAGTCATGTCAGTGAACGAGCAACTGATTTATTTATCAGCATAGCAAAATGACCTTATAATAGTCAAACACAGCTGATGACTCATTCACAAAGGATCATCCAGTGTTGTTCCCTGATGGTTTAGTCTGTTTTGGGAAAACGCTGATTTGTACAGGTAAAAACATCTACATCATCTACATCTACAATTCTGTATAGGTTTTACTATTGCTTTGCAATGCAGTCAGTGCAATAAATGCTTGTAAGTATCTATGATTTGAATACACATCTGACATAAGAAGTGTTCTTAAAAAGTTTGAGCACAACAGGATTTTCTGCCATCTGATACACATTGTGGTTGCATCTTCTTGCAAAATGATGATGAAACATTTTTATCTCTTTCAACATTCAAGACATTTTTGAGAGAACCCATGGTGAATTAATCTTTCAAGTTAGCTTAGAAATTGACATCAAGACAGATCTGTTTTTTAAACTGAAATAACATTCATCGATTTATCTCTCTCGATTGTAGAATGAGCTCCAATATAACTCTTCTCCTCCACACCCACTATGAGCTCTCAAACACTACAGCGGACATTGAGGCCATTATGAATAAGGTTAGTATTGTCTTCCTCAACGTCATTGTTCTCCTTGGCACCACCGGGAACTCTGTGGTCATCTGGGTGGCCGGCTTCCTCATGAAGCCCAATGTCACTAACGTTTGGCTGGTCAATCTTGCTGTAGCGGACCTAATCTTCTGCCTGACATGAGTCATATCACTCATCTCAAGTCTTTTCTTTAACCATTGGCCTTTTGGAGTTTTTCTCTGCAAGTTCAATGGTTTCTTCAAGTATGCCAACATGTTCTGCAGTGTTTTTCTCCTGGCCGTCATCAGTGGGGATCGAGCGCTCTGCGTCTGGTGTCCAGTGTTCACCAGAGAACGACGGACGTTATGTGCTGCTCGAGTGGTCAGTGTGGGAGTTTGGATCGTGGCGGTGATCTTTAGTTCACCGTACTTTGTTTACCTACAAGTCTACCTTGGCAAGAACAACTTGAGCCAATGCTCACCGAAGGTTACTTTTATGTCTGCATGCATCACCTTGCATATTATGTAATCATTATATAATAATATATTAGCAAATATGAAAATGTATATTTATAATTTCATTTTCAGGAGAAAGGAGCAGAAGCAGGTGACAATTCATCAAAGTATGTCTACTACTGCATTCGTTTCATCTGTGGATTCTTGTTGCCTTTCCTGGTCATCCTTATCTGTTACATAGCTGCTGTTGGGATACACAGAACGCGGCTCTCTGGAAAATCGAGGCATCTTCGGATTCTTGCTGTATTGGTCTGTGCCTTTTTCTTATGTTGGGCTCCATACCACTTTCTAGGGCTGGTCAAGTTGGTGAATAAAGACAATGAAGCAGTAAAAGTGGCACTGAGTATGGCTTCAAAATGGGCCTATTTCAACAGCTGCATTAACACGGTTCTGTATTTCTGCATGGGACTGGATGTTAGGCGACACTGCAACCAAAGCCTGTCTGGGATTTTTCATAGAGTGCTTATGGAGGAAGGCCAAAGTCTCTCACGGCAAGGCAATGGGGAAGAAAGCGCCATTCCAAAGACTGCAGATACTGAGTGTGTTACTGTAGTTTAAAATAACTTTTTACAAGGACGTTTTTACGATGAGATTGATAGGATGAAAATGTTTCTTTGCTGCATGCATTGTGTCCTCCACAGTTTCCATTAAAAAGACATCATATATTTACAAGACAATGCCAGAGCCAAATAAGAATTTTAATATACTATACCATTATTGACAAATAATTTTCTGGTTTGAAATAAGTTATTTAATCATAATCTTGTCAAACAGCTTTGGAAATGGCAGCCTTTTCCCATAAAAATAGATAGGAGCTGTACTTGTTTGCCTAAAATAAAGAATTTAAATAATTGTTGAGAGAAGTAAAAAAATTCAAGAAAATACAATGTATTCAGATTTTCTTAATTGATATCTGTTTTTAACGATTTTGGGGGAATTCTGTTTTTTATAGTTTTCAAGAGTAATTGGCATTCTTCAGAAAAAAAGGAAGTGAACTTTTCTACAGAAGGTGTTTGCACCTCACGTGGTAAAAAGTTTTATTTAAAGAATTGTTCAGATGAGGAAGGACCATTTCTAATAAACAGAGGGAAAGCAAAGACATTTTGTGGAAATTAATATTTGAAAAAGCTGATAAAACTGAAGCCCAGATAAGACTGAATATAGCCTACACAGTGTTTTAAACACAGGATGTGTCATACTTGCTGACTATGTATTTGAGCTCTTGTGAAACGGCAAGTCTCCTCATGGCCCCATGGTGAAAAAAAATGCTTATGAACAGTTACAAAGAGGCTGCAAAACCAAAGGTGAAATTAATTCAAAACAGTTACATATTTCATAAACAACAAATGGACGTGTACACTATCTACTGTAATTACAACAGTGTATTCCACTCGCTTAACTGAAGGGGGCTCTAAAGTCACAAAAATACACAAAACTTTAAATAGCCGTCTATGAGGCTTTCTATCACCAGCAAAGAAGTTCATGAGCATGGCCACCCATCCCAGTATGTAGGACCAGGAGAAGCGCCAGTCTCCGAACCGCTTGCCCAGAAAGCTTAGGGTTACGCCAGTGTAGATCGACATAGCCAGTAGCACAAACAAAGTTTGGTGTGAAAAAAAGTGATGGGTTAAAAAAGGGAAGAGGAAACGTAGTGCCATCTATATTTTTGACTTTAAGGGTTTAGAGATAAGTTGATTACTGTAGAGGGTGTGTCATTTCCCAGTGTCCCAAAAGGTGTTAACTTGACTTGATCAATGCAAATTCAAATTGCTAGTTCCTGTCTCCATTTTTGGAGAATGTTTGCCTTGGTCAGTGCGATTCTGTAGTCAGAAGCCTGTAACATAGTGTGTCCGAAGTCTACTATCTGAAGTCTGAAGTCTATACTATCATCTGTAGAGATGATAGTAGACTTCAGGAGAATCCCCCCTGCTCTCCCCCCACTCACCATTATGGACAGCACTGTGGCTGCAGTGGAGTCATTCAGGTTCCTGGGCACAACCATCTCTCAGGACCTGAAGTGGGACACTCACATTGACTCCTCTCACCCCGGACACAACCTGTTTGCACTTCTCCCCTCAGGTAGACACTACAGATCTCTGTGCACTAGAACATCTAAGGCATAAAAACAGTTTTTTCCCCCATGCCATCTCCAGCTTAAACAGCTAACATATGAATCATTACCTGCGTTCTGTAATTCATTTCCGTAATTCATTCTACATCCTTAATTATTGCCTCTTTCTCAAGTATTATGTAA